CAGATTGCGAGTAGAGCGCCCTAATCACCTGGCCATGCCGGGCCTTACTTGTATAATAGAGCAAATTTAATGAATTTTTTAAAGATGTTCCTTTTATTATAAATGCTTATTACACGTGTTTTTGATCCCCCTTTAATATTCGTTCGTTAGTTTTAATACGTGGCAAACGTGATCATACTAGTGTGAAAAAGGGGAAGAATAGCCAATACAGGATAATTACTATATCAGACTATTTTACTGCAAAACAGAAACTGTACCACAGCAATTATTATTCACATAATAATTATAATTCATATTATATGGTACAATTCACATTGTATTTACTTAGTCATTTCATATTACATCTGTATTGTACAGCTCATATTACACTTACATGGTGCATTTCATACTACATTTGTATTTTACAGCCTTAATTATACTTGTATGGTAGATTTATCCTTATATGTTACGATTATATCATGAATGACAACGGTGGTTTATAATAGGGATCGCAAGTAATTGCACATAACCCTAATAGAATGTTGGGATAAAAAGCACTGTAAACAGTAAACATTCAGTTCAAACAACTCTTTAAAACCTTTACTATTTGACTGCTAAGGCTTTAAACATATAAAAATGCACAAAAAAAAACTCATGTTAGACTTACAAAGAAAAGAAAATCTGCTCAAAACGGCTTGTTTGTAATTCTTATTATTAATATTATTCTCTTGCCAGCTTACAACAAAAACGGCTTGGTATATTGCACCCAAACCTTTTACAGAATACTATATAAGGTATTGCGAAGGTTGTATTGAAAAACCGATTTGTTTCTTCCATATTTTACATAAGCCAAAAAACATCATAATTCTAGTGTAAATGATATCATCATTACCCCTTGAAGTTACCTTTTTACAAATATCTACTGTTCCTTTAAAAAGCTTAAATACAGGGTGAAACAGGAATTACCAACCAATAATAGATGAACATCAGATGACTGTAACATGCAGAATACTCAATACTTTGTATACTATACAATCGGTGTCTTTAGGGGGGCCAACCTCTATATTATGTATGAAGTGAAGGAGTAAAACAATCAATACACATGATACTAAATTTAATTACACACATCCGTAGAATAATTACTTTAAAGTTCACGAAGGTTTATTTAAAGCGATGTTTAAGACGTGTATGTTTTATTTGAAAAAGCTGCTTTTCTAATGGTAAAATTTTATACGTGCTTAGTGGGGGGTTGTGTCTTAGTCTAGTCATATATTTGCCCATTGCTATGCATTATATATAGAGAATTTAGTTACATAGAAACTATAAATCCCTACTATATTTTCAAACAAATCTCCATGACAATCTCCAGCTGCAGCTTAACATTTTACATCTCGATCTAATGCGATCAAATATGTAATAGCTACAGTAAATCACCATGAACTAAGTTTATTATCATTACAATGTATAAGGTTAGCTACCATAACAAGTAATCCTTTGGCTATAGCTGAGCATAAACAAGCCAGCAAACAAAATAAATAAAAAGTTGGAAATTTAAAAACTTCCAAATAGAGATCGTATAGAAAGTAAGGAAACAAGGCATGGAGATACTGTAGACATTACTTAATCAAACTACAAATCCCTATTTTGACACCACCAAATGTAATTCTAGGAGCCAAAATAGGGATTTGTAGTTTGAGTAAATAATGTCTACAGTATCTCCAGCCTTGTTTTCTTACTTTTTATAGGATCCCTATTAGGAGGTTTTAAATTCCCAATTTTTTTATTTATCTTGTTCATATTATACATTTGTGGTACACTTCCGCATTTTACATGAAAACATATACAGAGAAGTGAAGGCATATTTGTGTTTTAGAGTGACCTGTTCCATTGTTATTTCAAACAAATTGAGATGATAGAATCATTCAAAATATTCATATAAAAAGAAACGAGTATACAACAAACTTTTTTTTTTTTGTTATTGGAGTAAAAATAACAGTTTGGCTAAATGATCTCCCACAGGAATCGAGGTGTATAAAACTTTTTTTTAGGCATTGTTTATTGTTATAATAGCTCCTTTTACCTGTCGAAACATCCGAGCTTGTTTCAATCCTACCCCTTCCACCTTCTGGCCAGTGTATCCAGGGGGGCAGGAATCACAGAGGAACCCTGGAGCATTATTAGTACAGGTGACGTTTGGGTAACATGGCTGAACCAAACTGCACTGTAAGGATTTAGATAAAAAAATAACATTACCTGTAACAGTATGACTCCATCTTTATCACTGCACTTAGTTGAGAAACAAATTCCTGAAACTTCTTGGGATTTTGTACCAATCCTAACATTATAAAAACGGGGTATATTCGTTATGAAGTTAATCTTTTGCACATACAACGGATTTCTGTCAATCTCGTTAGAATAGGCGTTCTTTAAGATGTTACGCCTTGTTTAGAAACTAAATTATGTCAATATTGTTAGGAGGGGATTTCTATTTTTAAGTTAAACCTATTCAAACAACTGATTTCTGTCCATGTCGTTAGAAAGTGAATTCTGTTGTGAAGTTAAGCGTTGTTCATACAACGGGTTTCGGTTAATACGGTGAGGGGGAATTGTCTGTTGTGGAGTTGGGCCTTGTTTATACGACGTGTTTCTGTTCATCTCGGTAGGAGGAACGTGGCTTATAAATAGTAAGCCTTGTTCACATAACAGGTCTCTGTCAATTTCTTTTAGCGCATGCATTTTTTTCAGTAGTTTAGAATTGATACGTAGAAAAACAAAACTAAATGACAAAATAGCCTCATTGAAGATTTGTAGCATAGGCAGATGTAAAAGACAAAAGACTACAAAACATGCTTCAAGTTTTTAATTGGTAAGTGCCAAGTCCAAATTGTATGATCATGATGGACAGTGTTCTGCTCACGTTAATGAAAGCCAAATAATCACAATTATTCTGTTTGAAAAACCGGCACATAAGTTTGTTTGTTTTGAATTTCGCTAGCCATTCCTAATTTGGCAGTATATGACTAGAGGGAAGGCAGCTAGTCATCACCACCCACCGCCAAATCTTGGGCTACTCTTTTACTAACGAATAGTAGGATTGACCGTCACATTATAGTGCCCCAACGGCTGAAAGGGCAAGCATGTTTGGTGTGACGGAGATTCAAACCCGCGACCCGCAGATTGCGAGTCAAACGTCCTAACCACCTGGCCATGCCGGGTCCCGACACATAATATTCAATTCTTTTTCTACAGTAGTACTTTACTTCACGAATTAGTTTCTTGTACTTTAAGGGTCCAGATTTCTTTTTAAATGATGTAGAATAGCCTGAAGTACATAAAAAATATAAACGAGTGAATTTCTAAACAATTTTGTTGATAAATCTGGTTTATTTCTAGATTATTTATTACTTCGTGGGGAATCTCTGAAGCATAATATCTGTATCTTTTAGGAATTTGAATAGTAGCGTTTTTGCGATCACATACATACATGTATATACGCATGATGTATGAATAGGCGAATAAGGTTTACACGTATACGCCAAGACATTTATGAGTGTCTCAAATAAGCATTATATATAAAAGCTAATAGAGTATTTTGTACTGGTATAGTTCAAGAGTTCGTCCACTGGGTTATTAAAATTATTTACGTGCTTAATGTGTTTCATTGGACAACTATCCAGCTACTGATGACTGAAATATTTCAAACACTTTATATTCTTTTTGTAATAACAAAAGTTTGTTTTTGGAATTTCGCGCAAAGCTAGCCGTTCTTAATTTAGAAGTAATAGATTAGAGGGAAGGCAATTCTTGGGCTCCTCTTTTACCGACGAAAAAGGGGTTTGACCGTCATATTTTCACGGTGACGGGATTCGAATTCGCGATCCATAGACTGAGAGTCGAGCGCCACAATCACCAAGTTATGTCGGGCCAAATAAAAAAAGTGCTAATATTGTGGAAATGTTGCTACTCTCTGTAATAATTCGAAGACTGTTTAATGCTTGATATAAACAATGCAATAGACAAAATTGCATCGTGGACTAGCATCATAGACAAGTTGCAACGTGGACTGGCATCATAGACAAGTTGCATCGTGGACTGGCATCATAGACAAGTTACATCGTGGACTA